AGAGGAGAGGCGCGGAGGCGGCAGATCCGGCCGGCGCGGGCTGTTGGCGGCGGGGACGAAGCGGTGGCCAGGAGAAAGTGGACAACCTGAAAATGCGATGTCGAATTGAAGCATTTGAACTGGGTTGGAGTTGACAACTTTTAAAGAATAATCTTTTTTATTTTAATTCTTATTGCGAAAAAGGGCTAAGACCATACATTAAGCTTCACGCAACCTTACAAACGTCGTTATATAGAAAAAATAAAAATACAATCAAAGATTTGGGAGTACCAGAGTCTTCTGCCTCATGCATCCACCGTCAACGCACGTGAGCATAGCTCGACAACGACCTTATAGAGGCAACGATCAGGAAGTCATCGATTTAGATCAGGTGACGTCGGTTGTTGCGATTTGCAAAGCAAATTGCCACCCCCAAAGAAGAGAATGCTGATGAGGGCATGTATATAAGAGACCACACGCCCTGGATGGGGATAAGCACACCAACGAAACGGGGATAACGCGAGGAAGACATTATTCCTGATATGAGAAATTGTCTCCAATATATCGCACCAAACCACATGAAGACTCCCTAATGAAAACATAAGACAAATTTCTCATGCCGATGTACGCCAGATTCAGAATTTGAGATCGAACACCGACGTTCAGGGCCATGCATCTATCATGTCTTCTTCGGTGGCCTAGCCAGGTCGAGCAACTGTAGAAAAGCAATCGTGTTGGATTCGTCTGACTGCCACCGGCTTCACCAACGCAGTCATCAAGCACCGCCTGGAAAATACCTTCACTCGAGCCCTCATCTCCTTCTCCGACTGCAGCAGCCCTCCAAGACCTACAGGCCTTCCCCTAAAAAACCGCCCTGAACCGGACATCCTCGCCGCCACCTGCACCACGCGCCCTACCTGCGGCGAGAGGTGTTGGTGTTGGGTGGTGGCTAGGGCTTCGTGATCGCTTGCCTCATCACCTCTTTTAGAAAATGTTTTGTAACAATGAAGAATCACTTTTAGGAAGTCCACGGTTTTGAGATCTATGAGAGAAATCATAGAGGAACCGATGGATTTTCCCTTAGCTTTGGCAACTGAGAAAATGCCACACGTTACACTTGATCATGTTCATTGCTATATGACATAAATGAGAGGGGGACAACACAATATACTAACCAAAACAACAAATGAATTTTTGGCACATGTCATCTTGTTCGGGCGCAAACAAAAATTGATCCTTCATCAAAAAAGTGAACTGGCTAGGGGAAAGAACTGAAGCATAATCTTGTGGGGCTAATGTTCATCACTTGATATGCACTTGACATGAATTCACATTGCCTCCAGAAATGATTCATGTTATAGATCAGTTAAAAAGAAAAAGGTTTGGTTGTTAAGGTAGATTATGAGATTTTCTGATAACGTAGATTTAGATTTGTTGTGGAAATGCTTGGTCTCACAGGCTTCAGGTCTACATGGATAAACTGAGTTCATAGCATAATACATCTAGGCTCTCTAGGAGTCAAGGTGGATGATTCTGAAGGATAATTCTTTATTTACGAATAGGGGTTCAAGATAAGGGGACCCCATTGTCACTCTTACTTAATTGTTGATGTCATATTGGTTGGTTTCGGCTCTGAACGCTCTAAAGCTTTGGGCTCTGTGCCCCCAAGTCTGTGTTAGTCATGGGTTCGGTAGTAGACATGTCGAACTTCGGGGTCTAGACCTCTCAGATCTTTGGGATACGCCAAGTGAAGGATTAATGGCAGGATTTCGAGGGGAGCTACATAAGATCCATTATTGTACCTCCATCACTGTCCACAAAATCACCACCACCACACACACACACATTGTCAAGCTTGTAAAGGTCACTCCACTTTGATTCCTACAACCACATATCTCTAAACTTCGAGGATACAAAGTGGAACCCAAAATCAACACTTCCACCCAAAAAATCGTGTTCTACTACCTTTGCTATACTAAGAGCAACTCTAGCAGACCCCGCAAAACGCCCCCGCCCGCAAAATAACCGCCAAAAATATGCACGACCAGACCCCGCATCCGGCACCGGCCCGCAAAAATTTTTGCGGGGCGCGGCAAATCTTCTCCCCCAACCTCTATCTTCACGGGCTGGGAGGCCGACCCGAGCTCAACCCCCATCCGGCGCGAGATTTGGCGGGAGGGACATTTCCGCGCGCGCCCTTTCCCGCTCTCCGCACTCTCCGCCACCATTGCCCCCCCTCCGAAAGCTCCGGATGCTCCTCCCCGGCCGTCCCTCGCTGCCATGGACGACCCCATGCTGTCCCCTGTCACCGTCGAGGTCGCGCACGCCCCTTCCCCTCGGGTGGATCTCGTCGCCGGCCATGTTGGCCCCGCCGGCGTCGCCCAAGCACACGTCGCGCCTGCCCGCAAGCGGCAGGGCAACGTGGTTGTGCAAGGCGGGAATCCGGCTACCCCCGCCGTGATGGCCCGCGCTCCGGGCGCCAATGCCGTTGTGCGATCCTGGCCGGCGGCGGAGAAGGCCGGCAAGGCCGCGGGCGCAAAGCGGAGTAAGGTTCCGACTTCAAGGAAGCCATCTTCTTCAACCTCTCACTCCATCCCCCCGCAAGGAGGTGCTCCGGCGATGCCGTTCAACGGTGTCGCTCCACCCGCGAGCGATGTGTTCGACGAAATGGCCACAAGGTATATCTCTTCGGGCTTTGGCGATTCTCTTTCATTTTCGCCATTGTTTTCGATAGCTCGTGACTTGTTATCGTTTGTTATAGCGGTGGTTCGAACAATGCAACAATCGAGTTCATGAACTTGTTGGACACGAACGCGGTTGACATTGATCAAGCCCCTTTCGAACCTTTTGACTACAATGAAACGGAGGGCGGCATGGACGATCATGGTTGTGCGGACGACTTGGCGGAGATCGAAGTGGAAGTGTTTGAGAATTCACAAGCAAAAACTGGGAAAAGCCAAAGATCAAAGAACTACACTATCTTGGAAGATCAAGCTTTGATCAAAGCATGGAGTGCGGTGTCTCTTGATGCATGCACGGGTACTAATCAAACCTCCAAGAGATATTGGCAAAGGATTGAAGATCAATACTTCCGCATTATGAAAAACTACCCCAATAATACTCCACGCACATTTCGGTCTCTTCAAGGTCATTGGGAGAACATTAAGCCTATGTGCAGCCGTTGGGCAGCTTGCTTGGAGCAAGTACGCAATGCACCTCCAAGTGGCACCGTGGAGTCCAACTATGTGAGTTTGCTTTGCCTTTGTTAAAGTTGTGCATCATCATAATGTATCATGAAAAATGATTGCATCACTTTGTTCACATTGTGTAGGACAAGATTGCTCAACATAGATACAAGGACATGGAAGCTTCGGAAGGCAGATTCTTCAAATTAGAGCATTGTTGGGAGTTTCTCCAAAAGTGCGACAAGTGGAAGTTGATTGACAAAGAGTCCCCACCAAAGAGAGGCTCACTTACAAACATGGATGAAGATGAGGATGATGATGGCCCAAGAAATTTGAACAAGCCTGATGGCGACAAGAAGACTAGAGAGAAGATAAAGAGAGAGCAAGAAGCATCGAGCTTGAGGGATAAGATTGATGCCATGGTGCAATCAAACGAGTTGATGTTGTTGAAGTTGTTGGAGATCAAGAAAGAGTTGGCCGAAAAGAAGGCAAAAGAGAAGCAAGAAAAATGGCAAATGCTCAAGGAAGAGGGGCTGCGCAGAGCTGCCATTGAGGAGAGAAAAGCACGCGCCTCTGAAAACAAATCGCTGTCATTATTGCTCGCTGAAGAGAACAAGATCATGTCAATGAACCGCAATGACATGGACGACATCACCAAAACATGGCATGATATGGCAAGGAGAGAGATCTTGAAGAGGAGAATGGTCGCCTCGGCCGGTCCGTCTGCCAGTTCCGGTGATGTTTTCTCTGCTCCATATGGTGGCAATGTGGATGATTTCGGTGCGGGGGTTGGAACAAGCGACAGAGGTGGCTACGGTGGCGCCGATGAACTTTAAGATGGACTCCATGGCGCAGAGTGAAGATCGACCCCCAAGATGATGCCAGCCATGGGCGCATACCTTTGCATGCCCTCTTTTGCGTAATGAACTTCGCTTTTATTTGTGCGCAAATTGTTTATGTCATTTGAATTTGAACTTGTTTGTGAGACCCTATGACAAATTTCAGATTTGTAGTTTTTCTGTTTGCGGGTCGTTGTGCTATTGCCCGAGCAAAACCCGCATAGCCGACCCGTAAAAAAGCATATTCCGCGAATATACTTTTCTACGGGTCCGTTTGGGGGGTCTGCATCTGTGCTAGCCCTCGCCGGCCCGCAAAAGCGGTTTTGCGCGAACTGCAAACGCGTTTTGCGGGCTGGCGTTTTGCGGGGTGTGCTAGAGTTGCTCTAAACTTGTTACTTTTGGAGTTGTTGGGCACATT